GGTGGGGAGAGCTCATTATAGCTTAGGAAAGCTATTGACTTCCTAGGATGTGGTTCAACCTTCCATGTGTGAAATTGTGCATAAAACAAATGTGCAACATACCAGCTGTCAAAAGGCATTTAGACATTGTTCAGGTCCTGTTTTGGTGCGAGCCCAAATTAAGGAATTGTGCATTGGTTATATTTAGTGCTGCTGGCTGAAACCAGACACAGTTCAGGGGCTGGATGCTGTGTTGCAGGGTATATATAGTCCAGGGTGAATGCAAGAGCTGCTTAGGCAAGAAGCCTTGTGTAACAAATTTAGTGCACAGATAAGTTCTGCTCTTTAACCAAGGAAAAAAAAATAGCCCACAATGCCCAGAACTTTGAGCCAAGTTTTAGCACGGCAGGTGGCCTCCATGAAAGCCTGGATTCTAGGCAGTCACAAACATTGGTAACTCTGGGCTTTGCCCTGAAGTTTGTGTCTCTCCCCAGACCCCATATTAAACTGAAAAGTTGCCAGGTGAAACTTGCATGGTCATCTTAATAGGCTGCAGCCAAAAGATTAATAGATACAACCTCACTAAACTTGGGGACTTTAAAGCCTGTTGGAATTAATGCAAAGGAAGATGCTAAGTTTCATCTGGTTCAGTGCAGAAGCCACAAAAAACAACAGATTTTGTCAGCATTGGTTGCCTAAATTAACTTAACAAAAGTTAGTGCAGATTTAGTATTAAAAGCTACTTTTTGTTAGCAGATCAGTCCATTAATTTGGACGAGATGAAACTCTTATAAAGAAAAGTTCCTACGCTTTCTATTTTGCAGAAAACTCCCATAGATGAATATCCTTATACACATCAAAATGTCATGTTATAAACACTTTTAGCACTTAAAGCTAGATAGAAGCTGTGCTTTTTTCTCTTTATCTAACAATTCACATGGGTCCCTCACTGCACAAAAATCCCAGTAATGGGACTCCTTCATTTGTGTCTCTGTGTTGCCCACATTTTCTGCCTGCGTTGCTTTTGCATAGCCAAATACTTTATGGACTTTAGGAATAAAATAAAAGAATTGGGTAAAAATAAAGTTTTAAAAGAAAAGCATCAATTCTTAGAAAACATCTAACAATGAGATGTAGCTTGGGGCTGAGGCTACCATTCTGTTTGCCTGAGCATGAACATTAAGTGCAGTTATTAATGCACACACAGAGAATATTCAGATCCCTCCACATCTAAACAAGAAATTGAACATTGCTCTCCCTTGAAATCTGCATTTTGCCTACTCTGTGGAAGGGTCTAACTTGCATCCCCAGTCAGCAGCAGTCTTTCCAGCTGATTTGGACTCTCAAATAAAAGTGAAGATGTGAAGAATAGCGGGAGGGTTGCCAGTCCTGCCCCATTTTCAGACTCCCTTGACAAAGAGAACAATCTATAGTTCTGTCACTTAAATTTTGCAGAAAAGTGCAGTGTCACTTACTTTGATTTAAACAGCAAAAGGTGCTCAAGGCTAATGAAGACAAGCTGATGTCTTAGCAGGTTTTCAGAAAGTTCATGGTTCAGAGCAGGAATCAAACGATGACAGCCCTGACTGTGAGGAACGAAAAGTGTAGGCAGATCAATGTAAAAATAGAAATTCTGCAGATATTTGCATTTCTTTTCTCATGGCATCCATGTCTGGAACTCTTCTTCTTATGCTTTAAGTCACCTTTTAAACTTTAAGTGTTTAGAGGTGTTGAAAATATAATTTCTGCCACTTCCCAACTCTACAGAGTCACAGGTGGAGCAGCAAGATGGAGTTGGAAAGTTAAGGAATATCTACATGGAGATTAAACTGCAAACCCATATAAATGAATACTGTGCTTGAAACTGGAGCATCAGGCCAAAATATTTTAAATAGTGATTTTTATTTAATAAGTTGACAACACTTAAAGGTGTGATGGCCACCTGGCAGTGCAATTGACATCATTTCTCTGGCCCAGACAGCTTTCAGTGCAGCCACAGAGCAAGAGGCACCATGTATTGTAGAACAGGGAATAAAACAGGACAAGGTGGACAGTGAGAAGGATGCATGAGTGTGCTGACCCCATTATATTTCTGTGTAATAGTTTGGATTTAACAGGAACTTTGGATTTTGAGGAGAAAAAAATGCACATCTTGTAGGAGGCACAGAGGCAGATTTCCAGCACTGGGACACACAGCAGGTCAAGAGCATCATCCTCATGTTTGCTCTGACCCTGCCTGCAGCAGGTTTTGTCCAGTGCATCCCACTGCTTGTTTGCAAAGGGACAGCAAACAGCCATTCCCTGGTCACTTATGGCTTCATAAACTCTGTCACCCTCCTCAGCCATCTCTTGACTAGACTGAAGGTTCCCAGTCTAGTTCCCAGTCCACTGCTCCTGTTTATCCTGGCTCCTTTGCCAGCACTTTATATGGTTCTGCTGTGGTTTTGTTCTCTATGAAAATGGTCTTGAGTCTTGCCATTCTGTCATACCAAACTATACTATCATATTAAACCTGATTTTACATATTCAAATTCTTCCAAAGTTTCCTTTCACTTGCCCAGAACACATATTCTAGTTGCTGGGTGCAATTCCCACACCTCCCTGCCAATTCTTTTTCAGAAATGGTGCTCTCCTGTCATTTGGGTGGTTTTGAACAAGAATTAATACAGAACAGTAATTGAATGAAAAGAGAATAGGTAAGGTAATTTAAAAGAGCATGCAAAAATTACCACTAGGAAAATCCTGCTTGTATTGGAGCTTCTGCAGACTGAAAGGAATATTAAATTTTTCAGATTCTGAGAAACAGAATGAGAAAGTTATTCCTCTTTCCCCATCTGTCCCCCTCCTGGCTGGGTCAACAGCCCAATTCTGTCCCATGTTTCACTTCTCCAGTTCCAACAAAGTGAATGACAAAGCAGAGGTGCAGCAAAATGACTGAAGGAATTCCAAATTGTCATGTTTTCTTTTGTTCAAGCCAGTGTCTGTGCAATCACCAAGGGAAAAATTCATGAAGATCTATAAGTGTTTCCATCTGGCAAACATGGCTGGGATCTTGACCACACCCATAACAAACCAGTGAGTTTACAGCAGCCTAGGGGACAGTCCACAGAATAATTCAGAATAATTCATCTGAAAATGAGCTGTTCTGGGACTTCCTCCAAGTTCTGCAATAGGAATGTTCATTTTTAGGTAAAAAGGGATCTTTCCACACAATGTCTTCCCTGAACAGGTGAGTTCCTCTTCCCTGGGAATGAGATGCTGATGTTGCTCCATGGTAAATTGGTGTCACCCATTGCTCTGGCAGTGCTGCCAGCTGGACTAAAGGGGCTGCTGACCTGGGGAGGATCAGCCTCACCACCCACACCTGCAGTGACTCCAGAGTCACCAGATTGAAGGGCCTGGAGTGCCCTGAGAAATCCCTGGGATCAGAGGGAGGGCAGTGCCAGAATGGAAGAGGAGAGAGAAGACAGGTCCAGAGCAAAGCAGGGGAACAAAGCCAAGCTAGAACAAGATGGGGACAAGCCAAGTGCAGCAAAAGCCAAGGAGCTCTGAGAAGCCATTGAGCTGCAGCCAGGACCAGCTGAAGCCCTCCAAAGGAGGCTCTGCTCCCAGAAATCCTGAGTGCTCTGCCATGGATAAGGACTGCTGGCCCTCACCACCCCCTGGGAGGGGAGCTGCAGGTGAGGCTTGCACTGACTGGCTTTGCCAAGCAGCCCAAAACGAGCAGTGCCAGTGCTCCCATGCTGTGGGAATGGACTGAGTGAGAAACACAGCACAGCTGCTCCCTGAGGGGATTTGGAAAAATAACACCAGAATCCTCTCTCCCATTCACACTGGGCTTCTGTGCTGGCCTGTGTCCTGGTCACACACAGAAGGGCATGCTGTGCTTCTCAGTGCACAGGGATTGGTTTTCCCAGCTCTGGAAGGTTTTGGAAGGCACTCAGGGCCCTGTGGTGCTCCCCCAGCTGCTGTTACCATTCCTGCAGCCGCAGGGGCAGAGCAGGAGTTGTGTTTCCTCTCCCATCCACTTCCAGCAAAGTCACAGCTATTTATTTATGTAAGTACACCCACAGGCAGGAACTTTCTTCCAAATTCAGCTGAAGGGATTTTTACCTTCAGATGTCCCATCCCCTTCCCAAGCCAGGTTTCAATGCTGGAATCATTTGAGACAGCCCTAAAGGACAGCAGAAGAACTCCAAGCACCTCCTCCTCACAGAGCTCAGCCTATTTCAGACTTGTGAGTGGACACAGAATCTTACAACAAAGGGGGAGAGGTGAGGATGAAACCAGCTCAGCTTTCAGGTACAAAGGTCTTTCTTCTTGCCTGAAACAGAAGGAGCAGTTTTCAAAGGCAGCTACCAGAGAAAACCAAAACATTTGGAGTTCAGTCCGCCACGGGATGGACCAAATAAGAGTGACCTAATCCCTGTGTTTCACTTGAAGCAAAATAAGGCACAGACTCATGAAGAAACTTCTTGGCACCGCACAGAGCTGTCCTTCAGTGTGATGCTGAGCAGTTGCTGGTGGCAGCATTTGGCACAGCTGGAACTGGCCAGGCTGCCTAATCATACCCTGATTCTCCTTTTCACTCTGTCCGTTTGACCTGCTAAAATAAAACTACTCAGAAATTCACTAGGGTAAGAATGGGGTGCCCGGGGAAGGAGGGGAAGAAACCAAACATTTTAATTAAAGAAAATAGTACTCTTCTGCAGGACAGCAGATGGCTCAGCACCGAGATATAAACTGCTTTGGTCCAAGAACAGCAGATGTGTAACTCCTCATGACACACACCCCATTACAGCTGACAGAACTACAACATGCCTGAAGGTGGGCACAGCACAGACAACAAACAGAAAGGACTTCATCATCTTTAATACACAGGCAAAGCCTACAGAGACTACAGTGGCATGTCTCAATGTAACTGGGTAAGCTGCCACAGACATATGTTCATATTAAAGACAAAAAACAGCTGCACGTGTCTCTAGGGCACTGCTCTCCAAAATTATCTGGGGGGGGGGGGGGGGGGGGGGGTTACACTTGGCAAATTCTGATTTAAAAATCAAAGCAGGTACATTTCCCCCCTCCCCACCCTAAAATCAAGTAACAGATTTACTGGATTGAGCCCTTACTGGCAGTCCAGCAGATGTGAAAAGAGGGTACTTTTAAAAAACAATACAGAACAGACAAATACATCAGACACAGGCCCCGGTTTCATCAGCACATTGGGGCATACATGCTTGCCACATGAACTCCATAAGGCTGTATTTTATACAGCTGCATTTTAAAAACTGCTGGACAGGTGAGCCTCCTCAGGGGTCTCCAGGGTTCAGTTCAGCAGATTGGCAGCTATGCAGTCACACAGATTTCTCTTTTCCACCTGAAGAAGCAGAGTTTCTGTCTATAAGAGGGAGGAACAACATCATCAAAAAACAAATGTCAGCATTGTAAAACTAATGAGGTCCCAAAGAAAAGTCCATTTTATTTTTATTCTACAATTTGGAACTAGTGGTATGAGATGAATTTTGGGGTAAAAATCAGAATTATTGTTTACTGCTCTACAAAATGATTTTGCTTTTGTGGGATTAATTGGCACACCAACATAGCACTATTTCCTGTGACATGGAGGAAGTTACTTTTCTTTCTTACAATCTTATTTCAACAGCACAAACTGGAGCATAAGCTAAGAAGTTCATTAGAGGCTTAAGCCCCCTCCCCACCCCTCCCAAATCATGTCAGAAACTTTATTTTACTTAAAAACAGACTCTGAATTTAAAATTAAATTAAATTGGACCCACTCTCAGTGAAGAAATTAATTTCTCTAATTTCTCCTGTTTCTCTTTGACTTTCTCCTAATAATACAAAAATTCAGTAGTTACTGATAATAAAACAGACAAGAGGTTTTGAGCTGGCACAGAGCAATCACAATTCAAATACAAGATGAGATTCCTGACTTCTTTAAGGAAAGGGGTCCCAAACTGGTGAAATTGGAAGTCTCTGGGTTGAACAGAGGTTCATCAATATCAGGAGATCTCTGTTGCCCACAGATCCCTGGTTCTGAAGCAATGAGGGTGGATTGGGAACTTCTGAGAGCTGGAGCTGGGCATGGTCTGAAAGGCTCTCAGCCCTCCTGTGTGAGAAAGGGCTGGGGACCAGGGAGGGGACAGCAGGGAAAGGAAATCTGGGAATCCTTCCCCACACACTTGGGTTTTCCTGGCTGTCTGGAGCACTTGACATCAACATCACATCTTCACCTCAGTTTGTCTACCATGAGCTGAAGCTGTAGCTAAAAATCAGCCTGATCCAAGAGAAAACTGCCCCCTCACTGCCATGGGACACTTCCCACAGCTGTGGAAGTCCACTCACCAAATTAATCCCTGCTGGTGCCACAGCTACTGTAGCTAGGCACAGAAAAAAGGCATTATGAGGCCCACCAGCTCTAAATGCCAACCACACCCATCCTTAACCTGCCTGACTTGCAGTTCCTGGAAAAGATGGAGTTGCCATGGGATTCAAGGCTGTGTTTTAAAAGCTGTGCTATCCATTGACCCACATCAGCTAAAGGCACTTAGAGCAGAGCTGGGCTGAAGCATCCTGCTCTGCACTTGCCTTCTTACTGCAGGAAAAAGGAAAAGCCATCTGCTGCTCAGGCTGGTTTTTTTTCCCAGATGATAAATCTCAGGGAAAAACCACAACCCTGTGGTTTCATATTAAATCAGGTATCACTTTTAGTTGTTTCAGCTGCCCTGCAAAACTGAAAAGATCTGATCAGACTTTGCTAATCATTGAAAAGACCTTCAATCACCACCTTCTCACCACCTCACTGACACCATTTGCCATGGTTTGAGGTTAAGGGAGGTTGACAGCATGCCAACATCTCTGGAGCTGAGTCCCAAGGCTCCTTACCATCTTATATATCTTTAATAACATTTTCAAGCCTTTCTTTTTATTTTCAGGGGCACATCCAGCTTACTGTGCTTTAAACATTCCAAACAACCACAGACAGTTTAGAAAGCAATAAAGAGCAGGGCTTGTGGTGGGAGCTGCTCCCTCCCAGCAGCACAAGACTCCTCTCCCAGCCCATGACCACATGTGGCACTTGGGCTGAGTGGTGAACTACAGAAATTCCCAGAAAACACTGCCCACAGTTAATTCTCACTGCCAAAACAACTACTCCAGCCTGCTCTGAGGGACCAGCAGCAACAAAAAACAGGGCAGAGAGGGGTAAACAGATCTGATGTGTAGAAATCAGCCAGCCTGACAGTTAGTGAGGGACCATCACACCAGGGTAGGTTACAAAAACCTATTGGGATTGGAAAAGGAAGGAGATCCAGTCTGTGGCCTTCATAAAAGGGTCTGTGACTTATTCCAGAGTCAGTTTGCTTTGAGACACCATGTAAATCAGCCCAGGGCCAAATGAAGTGTGAAAGCTCTTGAGCAATATTCTTGTGCAATAAAATGATACACAGGCTTCCCCTGTACAGAACTACAGGGTAAGATGTGCAGGAGGAATTAAATGAGAATTTCCTCTCTAAGCTTTTGGGAATCCCTCCCCCTCCAACACAGTTAGAGCTGCTTAGTCATCATCTAACAATCTTGCCTGCAAACAAAGGAGAGTTTTTCAAGGAAATTAATGTCTCCAGTGGGAATATTAACAAAGGGAATTGTATTTTCAGGGACAGGAATAGTTACCCCGCAAAGCAGCTAAACAGACTAAAATAGTCAAATGTGAAATATATGTGGCTGAAAGCAGTGGTCCCAAAGCCCTCAGTTTGCATTAAATAGTGCCACAGCTGAATAATAAAAGTAAGAATTAAAATACCCTAGAAGACAGTTCCAAGAAGTCCTCAACTGTTAAATATTTCCATGTCTTTTGAGGATGTAGGCAGAATTCCTAGTTTAATGACTGGAATAGGCCTGTTCCAGTCATGGGAAACTGAAGGATTTCAATATGAATTTAATTATTTAGATTTTAAAGTGATAGGTTTGTTTTCATGGGAATATATCACATTTTCAGGCTTGCTGTCAAATCTACAAGTGTGAAAGCCAATAATAGGACATTCATCTCAACTGGCTTTCTTTCTATCCTCCTATGTTATCTCTTTGGCTGTCCTTAATTTTTATTTTTTAAAAACTATTAAAACACAGGGGGTTCTTAATGCTACTTCTACTTTGGATGTCTGTGTTTTATAAAGCTTTTCTCTTGGTCTGCAAGCTGAAGGTTTCATAAAGGTCACTGCCAGACACCCAGAGAAAATCTTAAGAGACTTTGCATCAAGATGAAAAAATTCTGATGAAAAGTTCAAAGGTTTGTAGTAGGAAGAGGTGTGCTAAAACCACTTTACAGCACAATCTGAACATCTTGTTTGGGCTGCATAAAGTGCTCAGCAGATTCATTAGCAAGACTTGTTCATGAAGCCCAGGATATATTTGACCTGTAATTATTGAACAGATTTTGTTTAGCTGTAAATGTGCTAGATACCAATCTGGTTCTGCTGGAATGTTTATTTTTTTTCTAGCATGTCACAATTCAAGGCATCTTGGTTCATGCACTTGCATTTTCACCTAAACATCAAGGACCCTGCTTGAAGCAACCTCAAACCATTCCTCCAAGACAACAGCTCACAGGCTTTGACCCATGAACAGCCTTGACCATAAAGCAGAAAAGCAGAAAAGTTTCAGTGCCTTCTGCTGAGCAATGTGTGCAGGAGTGTGTCTATAGCACTCCAGCTAAAGGGTAGCCAGGAGTGGGGACAAAGCCACCCTCCTGGGACACACAGCAGCTGCCTGGGACACAGATTGCAGGTTGCTGCAGCCAGAGACAGATCCACATCCCCCACAGAAGGGAGGTGCCAGCCCTGGCACATTCTGCACACTCACTGCAAGCCAAACAAGGTTCATTCCCTGTGCTGTTCTACTTTGTGGCATTTTCCACCATTATGAAATTAGAGAAATGGAAAAACTCTATGGATGTTTCCTCCCTTAGCTTCTCCCCAGGGATAAAAGTATATGCAGGGGAGTATTTTATTTTAGTAAGCTTTTTGTTTGAGCTGGCTCTTTCCTTTTGGGTAATATATATAAATTATACTCCCACCTTACTCCCCCTGACATAAAAACAAAGGTGTGTGCTCAGTATTTGGAGTGAGAAAATCAGCACTAATGGCTCTAATTTGGCAAGAGAAGGAAAGTCAGTTCACACTTCCCTATACTTCCTATTGTCCCTGATAGCCCAAAGCAGAAGAATTCCACAGATTACTGCACAGAGAGGTGAAATGTAATTAACCAGCCTCACCTTAGAGCACAGGACAGCACAGTTCACCGAGTGTGCAAAATTCATCCACCTTCCCTACTTTTATCCACAGAATTTTCTTTTATATTGGAGAAAAAAAAAAAAAGACATTTAATGTTTCCTTACCCTTGTGTCTAGATTATATGCTGTCTTCTTTAAATCCTGCAGAGCTCTCTGCATGAACTCAAAGGCATGGCAATCAACACAGGGGCGGCCTAGCAGAGATTCAGGAGACAATCATGACTTTATGGCATGAAGAATTAACTAGAAGGACTAAACTGTGATTTTGAGTATCAGAAAGTGCTACAGAAAAGAGTCCACAGAGTGAGTACTGATGTTGATACTCCTAAACAACCCAGGTAATTTTAACTGGCTCACTGTGATGGCCCACCCAGTCTCTCAATTATAAAAGAATTACTTCAAATTTACATTAATATTTTTCTTCCCACTACATTGCTGTTCCACTTTTCCTTCCACAGCTCATTGTATGGAAACATTAAACTCTTGAGTCTTTCATTTTGTTCCACTAACCCTGGGTACATTTTCAACCTTATCTTCAGATTTTTCAGAAATTATGTCTGAAAACATGAACCTGCTCCCTAGAAAAATCTCATCTCCTGATCTGACAAATGTGAGCTCTAAATAGAAGACTAAGGAAATAAAACTGACTACAATATCATAAAGACAGACCACTTCAGCCTCTAACTTTGAATCTGACACAGCTTTGCCCAAACAAATGCCCTGTTATCAGCAGGCAGTGCTGGTAAGCAGAACTGCTGCAATCTGGATTTATTGGCGTGTTTAAGAGAATGTTCCCAGATTGAGACATTCAGACTGAAGGGCACAAGGCTTGCTTTGGCTTGTTCACCACATAACACAGATCTGTGCCCTAACAGACAACAGCACTGAGACAGCAAAGACAGACAGACAAACACCTTGAGCTCATCAGGCTCAGCTGCTCTCATTGGCCTCTCTGTGCCTGTGCCTGGCTGACAACCTCACCAGAAATCCTGAGCCCAGCTCTAGTTTGCTCTTTGGGGTCTGGTGTGAATGAAAGGATGAAATCCAGGCTAATTTGGGAAATGCTGCTGTGCCTGTGTCCTGTCTGTAAGCCCATTTTGGAAACACGTGATGTTGGACTGTACATGCCCCTGACATGTTGGACAATGAGCTCCCAGCTCACATCTGAGTGCTCACCAGCAACCAGGAATTCTGCCTGCTGGAGAAAGGGAGCCTGCCAAAGTCTTTAACTGGTGAAGAAATAATAATAATAATTATATATATATATATATATAAACCCTCCACATTAAATAGTATTAAAGACCTGCTCCATCATTGTTGTACCATCACCCAACTTCAGTGCTACTGTATTTACACTGGACAAAAGGAGAGGACAGCAGTTTTTCACATCAACAACTTGATGCAAGGACCTGTCATTATGCTTATAAAATAAAATAAACTCAAAACAGATCAGCAAAGGAGAATTAGGTGGTTGAAAGCCCCAAGTCTAGGTGTTGACAAAATGGTTTCTTGGCATCTTCATTGTGAATTTTTTAAATAAAAATCATGACTTTAAAACAGCAAACATTCTGAAGAACAAAATATAATGAACAGACAATGTCAGATGAAAAAGAACAAGTCTCAGTAATGTCTCTGAAAAGCAAACATGGTGATTGCTGGCATAGAAAGGGCTAACACAATGGACAAAAGAAAAGATGCAGAACAGTGGCAGACTTCAGCAAAGAGCAAGAGACAAAGATAAGAGAGCGAGGAGCTTTGGATGCAGGAGCAAAACAGCACTGGTAGATTATCAGGCTGTGGTTTTAAAACAATGTAGGCAAGACATATCCAAAATAGTTTGAATTATTTGGGCAAACTTCAGAGTGCTGCAACATGAGAACTGCGGCAGGGGCTGTAGGAGAGGACTGCAGGGTGGTACTCACTTTCAGCTGGGATGGCTGTTCCTGCTTCCTGGTCAGCTCTGACAGGCTCTGAGACAAGTAGTGCAACCAAAAATACCAAAGGAACTGTAAGGATGGCTCTCCTCAGAAGGCAGGGTGCCAGCATCTTGGGAATGGATGCTTCTCTGCTTGTCAAGAGACAAACAAGTTAGTGAGGAACACTACAGACACACAAGGGTTTTGTCACAAAGTTAATGTCCCTGATGATGGCCAAAGATTTGTCAGTCTTCCTCTGAAAGAAGACAAAATACCAGAAGATGTAGAGCATGGAGAGAAGTTCTCTGAACCTTTCCAGAGTGTACATAAAACTCAACTGTGAGAGAACATTCCTACACAAGGTAAGAAGTCCTTGGTTTCATTTGAAGGCCAGGATGCTTCGCCTGGTCTGTGACTTTTTCCTAACTACACAGACATGAATCTGGGGAGCTGGTTCACTGTTACACTTTGAGATCAAAACTTCAGGGATTACAGAGCTGGCTGAAACATAACCTGGAAACAAGGTCTTTGGCCTCTGGCTTCCTTTACTGCATCATCTTTTCACAAGTAAAATAACTAAATGTAACCACTAGCATTACACAGCGTGCTAATTATAAAAACTCCTTTATGAATCTATTTGAAGAAAAAGACTTTTGTTAAACCTCCACAAATTCATAGGTAGAATTTCTAATGGTAAATGCATCAAAACTTGTTGACCTTCTGTTTCCCCTCCTAATCTGGGCTTCAGGCCACTATTTGCAGCCATCCATTTGTTCCTGCCAGGCCACACCATGCCCAGACCTGGGTACAACCTGGTCCAGCAGCAGTTTTCTTTCTCACAGAAGTAAGTTTTTTATAAGTTTCAAATTAAGTGTTTTCTTGACCCAACAGGTAAACTGTTCAGAGCAAAAGGGACTGGCTCAAGTTGCAACTGCTTGTTAGAGATCCCAATCCAAGCCTCAAGGACTCTGGCACACTGCTAGGGAGCTCCTTAGCTCAGCCAAGTTTACCTTTCATTCCTGAACATCAAAATGGAAGAAAGATAGACTAAAATAAGGCTAAGTTATGGCAATACAATAAAACTCACATTAAAAAATCTGTTCAGCTAACTGTGGGAGAGCAGGACAACATTCTGCCTCTTTCTGTTAGTGCTTTTTGAGCAAAAGATGTTGCATAAGAGCATTAGATCTGCATGTACTGAATGCAAGAGTACAGCACTCCCCAGAACAGATTGTATTTCACATTTAGAAAGGCAGTAGAGGGAGGCAGGAAAGGGAAGGGTTTTCCCCATTTTGCCACAAACACAGAACAGAACAAGACTGCTCTTCAATATGTGCAATCCACCTTTTCAGACACAGCTAAAGTGGAGCTGCAAACTCTGCACAAACACTTGCAGCATGTGCAAACCAGCAATTCAGCCAGGGCAGGAGCAGCATTACACACATCCCCTGCCTGTGCACCTCAACCCAAACACAAGAGCAGGGAATGGTTCAGAACCATACCTGTACAAGTAGAGTCACAGATATACTTGAGCCCATGGCAACACAAGACACGGTAATATAATTTCTATACCCTCATACTGGGTTTCGTGTCTCACCCACTATTTAGATCTGATGTGATCCTTTTTTTTTAATCTCTACAATCCCTAAAATAAAGGGATTAAATCACTGCAAGTGGTTTGGGTTTTCTGTTTTAATTAACGGTGATCCGCATCAAAACAAGTACAATCAAAAATAGCAGTCTTTGCAATAGGATGCAGCAGAGTGTCTCCAAGTAATAGTAAATTAGGACAACATCAGCCTCTTTTGGAAGCACCTGATGAAGCAGCCTCCTGGTCAGCAGGAGCAGAGGCTATTCTCAGAGCTGACTATGAGTACTACGAAGGTTCAACAAAACAAAACAGACACACTGTTAAACTTTTTTTTTGGGTACCTTACCCATCACCCACCCCAGAGTCAGCTCAGCTTTGTACGTGAGCCCCACTGCAGAACAACTGCTCCTCTAGGGCAGCAATCATCTTAAATCACACCTGACTCCTGCCTCTTAGTTATTGCATGGGAATTTGCAAGGAACAATCATGACAGGCTTACAAGGGTGGTCTCTCCCTGCAGTGCAGCTGGGAACAGAGACACATCTGTGCACGGACTTCTATGAAAGAGAAAATTCACCCCCTTTAACAAAGGAAAAAATATCAGTACCTGATCTTTCTCTTGTCTTTGTGATGGTTTCTTTGAAATGGCCGCTGCAAACTGCTAAGAGAACAAGTGCAGCATTTCTGAGCATGTGCACTGTCTCTTTTTAACCTTCTCTGAAAGAGGTTATTACTATGGGGAGATTTCTGCCATGGCAACAATGCAGAGCACTGCAGCACGCAGCGCAGATTTAAAGAGGCACAGGCTGTGTAGCCCAGGTCTGGGGAAGGGTGATTCTACTCTGACATGCAAGATCCAGCAGTGACTCACCTGCCCTGGGTAAGGTTTTTAAAGCCAGGCCATTTGATTAATCTCTCTTGAAGTCTGCTGAGTGGTTTTCCTGAAGTCTGAGCAGCTGCATGGGGCACCTGGTTCAAGTAACTTGCTCCCCCAGAGCTTGAAAATCACCACAACAAACTACAGCTGCTTTTTGGGGATGAGGACAGAGCAGGGATTGCACTGAGGAATTGGCCCGTGCACTGCCTGCCATTTGAATGGTTCTGACTTACAGGGGGCATTGGAACACGTGCCTGCTTTCCCAGGTGTTCCTGGGATTCCAGGCCCAGGGCTGCCAGGAGCAGCTGCAACCACCAAAACTCTGAGAGGGAGTTTGAGCCCAAACTCAGAACCCCTTTTTTGCAGCCTGCACTTCCATCCCCCTTTCAGTGCCCTGTGAGCTGCACTCCAGGACAACACTGACTGCACTTGTCCTGCATGCAATGGTACCATGGAATGAAGATGATAAAAGTGATTTTGTCAAATCAAAGCTAAGTTCAGGGGTTACATCACCCCCCAAAAACCACATTTCCCATCACAAATTAGACACTAGCAGTGCTTGTTTCAAAGAGTATGAGCCCAGCTGAGGGCAGGCACAGCACTGAGGAGCACACACAGACCTTCAAAGGGACTGTGCACTGTGTTTGCTTTACCTGGTTCAGAGGAGACTCAACCTTCAATAATTTCATGGTGAAAGTTGGGGGCATTCTGTGCCCAGGAAGGTCAGGCACACAATCTTTTTTTTTTCAGGAGCAGAAACTCCTCCCCAGAATTATGACTGAATTGCTGGCTAACATTTTTCTTTTCCACTTGCTCTATATAACCTGTCTCTCCTGTATAGCTGAAGAGAAATGGTTTGCTCCCATTAATTCTGGTAAGTAAGTAAGAAGCTAAAATCTCAGCTTGTTCAGTGTGTAACTATGCTGCTGTATGAAGTTACAACATCCATGAGCAGAGTCAAGAGGGGATTAATTATAGTACTGCCATCCTTACACATCACAAAAGCACAAATCAGGGGAAAATAATTTTTAGAGACTGTTCTTTTGGGAAAACAAGATTTAGCATTGCAGAGATAACCTTTTGGTCTGATTTAGTATCTGCCTGTATATAAATTACAAATGCAAAGCTTTATTCATGATCACTCTCTGCCCTCTAATCTCATACCTTGGCCTGTCTTCCTGATAAATAGCATAGATATTCATATAGACACACACCCACCACCTGCCCCCATCTCTCTATATGCCTTTTCTTAGTCTAATCATTCCCAGTAAATCTGTTCTCCTCAATCCTGGGCTTTCTCTATCACAACAGTAACACAGAGCAGCCAGTCCTGGTACCTTGGGTGTTATCACTGATTCACTCTTCTAGACCCATGCAATGGGCTTCCAATTCTACTAAATAAACTTTTAAAAATCTGTTTCTGCCATTCAGATGCTAAATTGCTTGCTCTTAGCATCCCATACCAAATATTCCAATGTCTCTTTTTTAGCCTTGTCTTAGATCTATTTATCCTTCAAGGAACTACTTCCATTTCAATGTTTTAAAAACATTTCTTCTTTATTAATTTCTCTCCACTCTGCATTCTGTTAAGTTTTTCTCTTCACTGAAGCTAAAATTTTCTCAAGTGGAAAATATCAGTTCACCAAGGAGGAGATCTTCTATATAGGAGGTAGACATTCCATTTCAGCACATTTTTCATAGAATGTCCTGAGTTGAAAGGGACCCACAATGATCATCAAAGTCAAACTCCTGGCCCTGCACAGCCCCATCCCCAGAGTCACCCCCTGTGCCCCAGAGCATTGTCCAGACACCCCCTGAGCTCTGCCAGGCTGGTGCTGTGACCACTGCCCTGGGGAGCCTGCTCAGTGCCCAGCCACCCTCTGGGGGCAGAACCTTTTCCTGATATCCCACACAAACCTCCCCTGACACGGCTTCAGGCCATTCCCTGGCTCCTGTCCCTGTCACCAGAGAGCAGAGATCAGGGTCTGTCCCTCCTCATCTCATCATGAGGAATTTGTAACTGCACTGAGGTCTCCTCTCTGTCCCCTCCAGGCTGAACAGACCAAGTGCCCTCAGCTGCTCCCTGTATGGCCCCTCAGGGCCCTTCACCATCCTCATGGCCTCCTTTGGACACTCTCTCATAGTTTAATGTCTTTCTTTGGGGCACCCAAAGCTGCCCCCAGCACTCGAGGTGAGGCCACCCCAGAGCAGAGCAGGGCAATCCCTCCCTTGCCTGGCTGGAGATGCTGGGCCTGATGCCCCCAGGACATGTTTGGCTCTCCTGGCTGCCAGAACACATGGAAAAATTGTGAATTTTTGAAGTTTGGAAATTTTTATTTGGAAAATGTTTTTAAAAATAATATTTTGACAATTTTCAAATTTTGAGAATTTCTGGCTTTCAGATTCAGAATTATTTGTTCTTTAAAAAGCTTAATGAAAATACATTGCATAGTCTGTTCATGGAATTGCAGAGTAGGAACAGCTCTCATGTTAAAGTTATTGAGGCACAACCCCAAGAGAACATTACAACCCCAACAAAACCTTTCCTTCTCTCATGTCCCTGATGCACAAAGCACAGGTCACAGAGGTGCTGGCCCAAGGACACCTGAGAACTGGAAGTACAGAGCAGGACTGGAACCATACAGCACCTGCACTGTACCCTCAGTGCTGATTTCACTGCGGCCAAAGCTGCAGTGGTGCTCATGAGGCACCATGGGCTGAGTGTGAAAAGTGACATTTGTGTGAAAGCTGGAACAACTTGACTCCCCAGCTGCCCTTGGGGAGCATTCATGAGGAAAGCAGAGAGAATTTATAGCTTCTTTTCTATAATGAAGTCTAACACAATGGATTATTTTTCAAAATCCCCACCAGCTAGAAAACATCAAAGCACTGTTACTGAGATTTCATTTTTTCATCTTGATAGCACATGTCTTGATACTATAAATATTTCTGTGGGATTGGAAGAAAAGCTGGAGCCTTTACCTCTAAGCCTCTTCACTGCTTGGTCTCTCCTTGGCTCTTAAATCTAATATCCTGTCACTACAGAAAACTTTCTCCCTCACTAAAGAAAACAGATTCTGTCATTTCTCCTGGAGACACTTTTATGTTTTCTCATAGCCTGCCCCCTAAATCACAGCCAAAATCTCCCCACAAGGTACCATCCTGTCTTCTATCAACCACACTTTTATGCTTTACCTCTGCCACGAATCCCAGGAAGGAGAGCCTGGGGATGAATCTGGCTGGGGCTGTGGATGCCATGCAAATGTGTTTGTCACACCAGTATGTCCCTGCCCCACACCTCTGGCTGTCACCCCTGCCACCCTGGGCTGTGATATCTCCAGGGCAGGGGCTGTGTCTGCTCTTGTTGGGGCAGCACCACAAGGCTGGAGTGTTGATAGAGGGCTCCAGGCACATGTGATATAAAATAAAGTCAAACTACCTAAAGCTGGTCTCACTCTCCCACACTCTGATGTATGAGCTATTCACAGAGCAAGCTTCTGATTCTTTTCCTTCCAATGTAAAGCTCTTGGGATGTGTCAGAGTGACCAAGTTAAGAAGTGAAGTCTGCCTTTGTTCCCTGAACAGGCCTCACCTATCCTGGTAGCAGCAAATAATTGCAATTGTTCCTCCTTCCATTTTCCCCACCAGTAATTTTAGGAACAATTTCCTTGTCAATAAATCCAAATCCCACAGTCCCTATCTGTCAGAGTATGGATTGCCTGGAGTCATTCTAGGATCCAAAAAATCTTGAGTTCCAGCACAACCCTAAGGCTGGGCTCACATCCAAGTCTGACTTTTCCACTCAGATCTTAGGGAGATTTGCACTGTCAGAACTACTTACTGCTTTTTGGATGAGATGCTAAATTGGGCCTTATCTTCCTGCATCTCTCTGGGAGCTGAGAAGCATCTAAGAATCCCATGGCAATATTCAGGAAGGGTTATCATTAACTGAGACATCCTTGGCTTGCACTCCCCCTGTGCACCCTGCTGCATACACAGCTCTGGGGAATAAAGCTGTGCTGGAGCTATTTCAGGGTACATAAAAGTTGCAACTTTAACTTGTTTGCAAATTCCACAGGGATGTCTAGAGTACTCTGCAGCAATTAAATATGCAGGCACTTGAATGGGCTTTGGACTAGAGGGGAACAAACCTCTTAATTCCCAAACTTCCCAGTCTGGAGCCAGACCTCAGAGTCCAGGGCCTCTTCTAGCACTGGAGAGATCTCTCAGCTGACAAACAGGGCACTGTTAGCCAGTTTCCTTGCAAAGGCTGCTTGGAGAAAGAGCAGTTGAGGAAACTAAAGAAAGAGAGATTGCTAAAATTGGAAGTTTATTGATGACCTTTTTTCCTTCTAAAAGGTGTTCATTATCCAAAGTCTGCATTGTCAAACTACAGAAATCAGAAGACCCACATTCATTCTCTGCTTTATGAATCAGCTCCTTTGCAGCCAGGAGACTAATTCAGGATGATTTTTATGACATCAATACTTGGATCTCATTGAGAATCAATAATTCTGACATTATAATCTCTACGATTTAACAGCTTAAAGATGGATGTACATTCACACATTTGTGTTTGAAAACTGCATCTCTAACTTGAATTCCTATTTACAAGGTATTTGCAAGCTGGTGGATGTAGCTTCTCCTTTATGCATTTTTTTCTCCTTTCTAGAATGACAGTGCTAGAAATTGCAAGAGCTGAATAGTGCAGTACTATACTATCCTGATGTTGCACTAGCTGTGACTGCACAGTTTTCAGCTAAAAGCTTACTCATGTCTGTCTTTAAAATGCCTTGTAAATTAATTCCTTATTTGTAATCCTGGG